AGCGGGGCAGGCTGCCTGCAGGGGGCCTCTGGAAATCCTCTCTGTGACGACCGCACCAGCGCGAACCCGCAGGTGTAACAGGGACAAAACGGGCTAAAACGCAGAGATAAGATGTAGATTGACAGGTGAGCCGTGGTCACTGGTCAACTCAAGAGGTAATACCTGGAAACCAAGTATGTGCCGGATACTGCGGACACAAAAAACTTAAAGTAAAAATGACTTGGGTTCAAATGCCTGCTTTATCACTTAACAGCCATGTAACCGAGTACGGTTCCAGCTCATTCCCAAATGATTCATAAAAAATGCCCATGTATTTGTACCCACACACACAAATGTAACAGACACAGAAAAAGAGAATATGATAAAGCAAATGAAACAAAGCATAAACATTTGAGAATCAAGGAAAACGGGATGGGAGCTCCATCACTATTCAGGAAACTTCAATATAAGTTTGAAATTAAAATTAAAAGTTACAGAAAAATTCACTGGTATCAAAACATAAAATTATGTGACTTTCTTGGTAGCACTCAGCAACTTACTTTTAGAAGCAGAGTATATAAATGGCAGAACTGGTCCAAGATTAGAAGAATACTGGGAAGACAAGTGACTGGAGACAGAAGAGGGAGGGGGGACAAGGAGGCTGTGGGACTGGAGGTCTTGGCAAAAGTTTAGGAGTGGCAGGAATAGGAGAGTGAGAATCAGAATACCAGGAGGCTGGAGCCATAAAGCAGGGTATTAGCATTCAAAATGAGAGTTATTAGTCATTCAAGAAATGCACATTAGCCCCATGAGATACCATTCCACACCTACTAGAATGGGTAAAATGGTCAAATTCAGAAAGACCGACCACACCAAGTGCTGGAGACGCAGAAGCAAAAAGAAACTCTCCTGCATTACTGGCTGCGATGCGAAGGCTGCGGCAATCTAGGGAGACCGTTTGGCTTCCCTTAACCATGCAGTCACCACATGACCCTGAAATGCCATTTCTTGATTTCTACCCAAGAGAAACAAAAACGCACGCCACACAAAAACTTTCGTATAAATGTTCACAGTAGGAATAGTCAGACTAGCCAAAGCCCAGAAACCACCCAAATGTCCACACCTGGTAACGGGTAAGATGCGGCATTTATCATCCACATCATGGCCACCACCCAGCAGTGCAGAAGGACCAAACCAAGACCATTCAGTGGTGGAAAGGACAGTCTCTCCAACAAATGTTGCCCGGAAAAATGGATGCCCACATGCAAAAGAATGAAGTTGGACCCCTACCTGACACCATTACAAAAATTAACTGGAAATGGATCAGAGACCTAAATGTAAGAGCTAAAACTATGTAGCTCCTAGAAGAAAACACAGGACAAAAGATTTGGCATGGATTTGGAGATGGTTTCCTGGATGTGATGCCAAGAGCAAAGGCGACAGAAGAAAGACCAGAAAATTTGGACATTATCAGAATCAAAATCTTTGTCCATCAACGAACACTCTCAACACAGTAAAAAAAAAAAAACCCCGCAGAATGGGAGAATATATCTGCAAATAATACATCTGATATGGGGTTATTACCCAGAATATATAAAGAACTCCTACAACTTCACAAAAAAACCACACAACCCAATCCAGAAATGGGCAGACGACTTGAACAGACATGTGCCCAAAGAATACACACCAATGTACGGCCACCAAGCACATGAAAAGATGCTCAGCATCACTAACCATCGGGAAATGCAAATCGAAGCCGCAATGAGTTACTACTTCATATCATTAGGACAGTTATTTTCAAAAACAGATTAAAGTTTTGGTGGGGATATGGAGGTTCCACCACCTTCTGCATTGGTAGTGGGAATGTAAAATGGTGTAGCCTTTACGGAAAACATTTTGGAAGTTCTTTAACAGGTCAGACAGGAGCAATTCCACTTCTGGGGTATACATCCAAAGATGTGCAAGCAAGACTGAATAGGTATTTGTACACCAGTATTTACAGCAGCAGTATTCACAACAGCCAAAACATAGAAACAACCCTAATGTCTGTGGACAGGTGACTAGATAAACAAAATGTGACATATATACATACAATAGAGTATTATTTAGCCCTTAAAAGGAGTAAAAATTTTCTACATGCTTTAACATGAACCTTGAGGCCATCATGCTATGTGAAGCCAGACATAAAAGAACAAATACTGTATGATTCCACTTATATAAGTAACTTAATAATAGTCAAATCAGAGAGACACCAAGTAGAAGACAAGTTACAGGGGGTGGGGATGAGAGGTAGGAAGAGGGAATGGGGAGTTATGGCTGAATGGGCACAGGTTCAGTTCGGGATGACAGAAAACGCTCTAGGGATGGACAGGCAGTGATGGTTGCACAATGTGGATATACTTAATACCACTGAACGATAAACTTAAAAATGGCTTAAATCGTAAAAAAAAAAAAAAGATTTTATAAGAGAGAAAAAGGTCCAAGCTAATGAAAGGTGTTGAATGTGGATATACCTCAAAAAACATGCTGGTGAACTGAACTCAAAAGACCACATATCTTATGATTCCATGTGTATGAAATGTTGAGAAAGGGCAGATCTACAGAGACAGAGAACAGATTATTAGTTACCCAGGACTGGGGATGGGAATGGGACTGACCTGTTTACAAATGGACTCAAGGGCTCTTTATGGGTGATGGAAATGCTCTACAACTAGAGTGTGGTAGTAATTACACAATTCTGTAAATTTATTAAAAATAATTGAACACTTATTAAGGGGGTGAATTTTACCTACCAAACTGGCAATCACTAAAAAAATTAACACCCCTAACTAGTGTGGGTACATATAAACCAGCTTTTATATACTTTCCTAGTGAGAATATACAGTAGGGCAACTTCTCAGTAGAACAAGTTAAAAATGCATATACTTTTGTACCCACAATCTCAATTCTATGAATTTTCCTAAGGATATAATCATGATAGCACTGTTTCTAATCAAAAAATTAGTCCCAAAGTAAAATGAGTAGGGGGCTGGCTAAACACACTATGCCATTCCATACAACAGAACACTCTGGAGCCATTACAACGATGCCGTCACCACTAGACCACCTGAGCATCTGTAACACAGGGGCCGCTTCCCTGAATGTTATAGCAGCTGGCTACACACCTTGCACAGAGCAAGCATTAGTAGGTTTTGGGTTAATAAAGAACAATTACATGGGGAGATTTCACAATACACCCTAGAGTTAAACACACACTCCACCTGGATTTTTAAAACAGTATGTACGTTGACTCCTTATTCAAAAAATTAAAAATATATATGCACATTCACAGGGGAAAAAAGCTAGAAAGGTATATACACTGAATATCAATTTTCATTTCTAGGTAATTAGATTATGAGTGTTTTTTTGCCTATCCATTTGCTGTATTTTTTAATAATTGTGTATTATAATTCTATTATCAGGAAAAAATTTCTGAGGTAGTATTGTTTTGAGCATAGTAAGAGCAAAGGGTTAGTCTCTGGAGTGGAATGGTAAAATTCTGTGGAGACAGAGTCAAGGGAGTTTTTAAAAATTAACTTATTTATTTAGTAAATATTAAGTACTTCCTTTGTGCCAGTGGCTGTTTCAGGATCTGAGGACACAAGAAAAAACAAAACAAACCAAAACCTGCATTCACAGAAGTGGAAACCTCCTGAAGGGCCGGAGAAGGTAAACCAGGGGCCACGATCCTGAACCAACGTGAGGGTGTGTGGGCAGGGGAATGGGCAGCAGCAGCCAGGACAGCGCCATCACGGGGCTTCTGTCTGAGAGTAACAGTCTGTAAACAACGGAGGGAGGTGGGAAGCACAGGCCTCCCCCGCTCTTAGCCTCTGCTGTGTACAAAGAGCCAGCAGGCACTGCTTGAGAGGACTACAGGGAAGTGGCCACCTTTGGGGAGAGCAAAGCTTCAGTTAGGCCAGGCGACACAGTGATTGTGTGCACAGTCAAGTATTGAGTCCACTAAGGGAGAGGAGGGGTCACTGAATTTGGGATGGGACCCGAGGGGGCACGGCAGGAAATTAATCGGACCTCAAAATTCTTAACAAAGTTCAGGCTGCAGCTTGGAGGTATTTTGAGGCTCGGTGATGAAATGACACTGACATGATCCTCAGGTGTTAGGAGAACATGTCCGTTTATCTCTGTATCCCCAGTCTAATAGAGAGCAACATCTGCAGGCTAATTCAAGCAAAAGCCCTTAACTGGAAGAGAAAATCCTAAACATAACTCAGTAACTTAGGGTGGTTTCTTTCAAGGGAACTATCATTATCCCTGCCAACCTGGCTTAACACCTTAGTCATTTCTGACCTCTCCAAATTCAAGTCGGTCATTAGGTCCTTAGTATTTCATATGCCACAATTTCAAGCCATTATACCTGGTTTAAGCCCTCATCTCTCCCAACTTCTCGGCCAGTTATCCTTCAATCATTAGATGTATTGCATGATAAGTCTCAATCTTTGTCTCCTGAACTGACTTCCAGAAACGATGTGTGTACTAAGCTGCCTTCCCCTGCCTACGTTCCTGACCAATGGGCCTGAACACTGGAGGTCTCTTCATATGATCTGGGCTTAAAGGGAAGCAGAATGCTATAAAACTGTCAAGACCTACATGGTTAAAAATAACCATTAACACATATAATGTTAAAGGTTAAAAATAACACATATAATGAAAAAAGCATGTACTTTAGTAGCTGTTCAGTCCATCACTATTTTTATGTATACCATATCTACTTCAAGAGTTTTTATAAGAGAACGCTGAGGTAAAAACAGATCAACTAATCAATAAATTTCTAGAAAAAAATTCTGATTTTGAGTTCATAGGAAGTCAAAGAAGTGAAAGTGAAGACTTGGCAGAAGAGTCTGGGGGAAGCCTGGCCCGGTCCTCACAGAGGCCCCCCAGAGCTGGGACTAGGCCAGCTTCTACGACACTCACCGAAATAGGATGAGTGATCGATTGGGCTGCATTTCTCTGTCAATCTTTCTTACCTTACTCAGGAAGTCACTTCAGAGTCACCTTGAGATCACAAACCCAGGGTTCAGGAATACCAGTAGTATTTCTCAGGTTACCAAGGAGCTTCAAAAAACCCTAGCTGTCTCCCTGCCTTGAACTTCTCCCGTTCTCCAGCAAATCTGAATGGCAAGATCAGGTTCTGGTGTCAGACTTCCTACTTTTAATAAAGGCTTTGCCACTTACCCCACAATTTGACTTTTGTCAAGATCTAAACTCTATTCCTCAGTATCCTCACCTGTGGAACAGGGACGACAATTAACACCCATCTAGCAGTACTGCTGCAAGAACACTGAATGGTCATGTGGGACAGAGGGGAACTTCCTGAAGTTGTTAAAAGAAATCTACAAAAATCCTGCAGCAAACACCATACTTAATAGTGAGAAACTCGAAGCCTCTCCCACAAAGATAAGAAACCAGGGAAGGATGTCTTTGCGCACTACTCCTTTTCAGCACTGTACTACACGTACCAGCTGATGCAGTAAGACACGAAAAGGAAACAGCCCGCTACAAAAGGAGGAAATAAAATCGTCTCTGCTTACAGATAACATGATTGTGCAGAAAATCTTGAAAAAAAAAAAAACACCCCAAATCACTCCAGGAACAAGTAAGTGAATACAGCAAAATTGCAGGTACAAGGTTAATACACAAAATTGCTTTCTTACACACTAGCAATGAACAAATGGGCTTTGAGATTAAAAACACAATACCATTTACACTAGTACCCAAAAAATGCAATACCTAGGTATAAATCTAACCAAACACACCTACAATCTGTATGAAGAAAAGTACAAAACTTTGATGAACAAAATCAAAGAACTAAATAAATAGAGTTATCATCTGTATTGATGGATAGGAAGACTCCATTCTGTCAAGGTGCCAGTTCTTCCAAAACTGATGCGATCCCAGTAAGAATCCCAGCAAGTTATTTTTTGGATACTGACAATCTGATTCTACCTTTACATGGGAGCAAAAAGGCTCAGAACAGCCAACTCAATATTGAAAGAGAAGAACACGGCTGGAAAATCGACACCACTCGACTTCAAGATTTAGTACAGAATTACAGTCATCAAAATATTGGTGAAAAGCACTGACAGATCAACGGGACAGAACAGGGCCCAGGAACAGTCCCCCCGTAAGTATGGTCAGCCAGCCTGGCAGAAGGGCAAAGGAGGTGCCACGGAGAGGACGGTCTTTTCACCAGATAGCGAAGAACAGCCAGACATCTACATGCAGAATAAGACAGACCGTACACACTTCACAAAGTGGACCACAGATCTAAATAAAGACGAAACTGTAAAACTCCTGGAGGCTAACGAGAGCAAAGACCTAGATGCCCGTGGGTACGGCAGTGACTTCTTCAAACGCCCCCAGGCGTGATCCACGGAAAGCTCTGGTAAGCTGGACTTCATTAAAATTAAGAACTGCTCTGTGAAAGGCCATGTTGGGAGAACAAGGCAAGACTGTAAGAAAACATTTAAAAAAGACATCTGGAAAAGACTATCCAAATTATACGAAGAACTCTTAAAACTCAAAAAAAAGGAAACAGTCTGATTAAAAAATGGGCCACCTCACCTCCCCTTAGCAGATGCCTCACCAAATAAGACTCTAGATGGCGAATAAGCATACAAAAAGTCCCACTCGTGGGTCTCGAGGGAATGCAAACTAAACAACGGGGCGTCACTACACACCGTGAGAACGGGGGCAGCTGGTGAGCATGAGATGCTGACAAGGCTGTGGGGCAGCACGGACCCCCTCACTGCTGGTGGGGGCGGAAAGTGGGCCAGCCGCTGTGGAGGACAGCCGGTGGGCTCTCACACCACCCGACGCTCCTACTGTGCAATCCAGTGGTCGGGGCCCTCGGGATTCACCCAGAGGCATCTGCACATGGGTGTTCACAGCAGCTTCATTCCAGCCAAAAAACGCTGAGCAACTGAGACGTCTTTGGGAGGTGAACGTGGATCAATAGCGTGTTGTGCAGCCACACAATGGGCTGTCCGTTCAGCACAAAGGAGCCGTCACACTGGAGGGACCTCCAGTGCGTGTCATTAAATGGAGAAGCCACTCTGAAAATGCTGCACGTGGACACCAACTACGTGACATTCTACAGTCACTGGGGGGACAGTAAAGGTCGTCAGAGCCGAGGATAGGAGCTGAGGGGTCAGGGAGGAGAAACAGGGCAGTGAAAATACTGTCTGATACTATAATGATGGATCCGTCTCATACCTGTGCCCAAACCTACAGGTCACCAAGAGTGACCGTAATGTAAGTTAGGGACTTTGAGTGATTATGATGTGTCAGGATAGGTTCACCAATTGTAACAAATGCCCCCTGTGCAGGGGATCTTGATAATGGGGCAGACTCTGCATGTGTGGGGACACAGGCTCTGTACCTTCTTAATTTTTCTGTGAACCTAAAACTGCTCTAAAAAAATTAAGCTTTATAAGCAAGTTAATGTGTCTGATATGCCATACGAGCTGCAACTATTACATTAACGCTCCTAACACTGCTGTCACTATTTCTCTGCAGCAAAGCCTTCAGCAGCTCCCAGTGCTGCCTGTCACACCACTCCCACACCCCCCATTTCTCTCCTCCAAGCCTGGTCCGGCCTCAGGACCCCCAGGAAGTTGGTGCTTCCTGGGTGGGTGGAAGAGCCTGCGGCCTGTGCCAGCCCAGAAAGGCCTTGGGGGGGGGGCATCTGGATGCCACCTTTTTCTCTTTACTGCTCTTTCCCCTTCAGGAGAACAGAATGAAGCTTTTGCTCTACACCCAAAAGTTTTGCTCTACACTTAGGTGCAGCTCTTTCACCTAGGCAGCTTCAAAAATACTTAACTTTCAAGGCATGTCGCATATTTCACTTTTCCTAATTTCCCAAGTGTCCCAGCTCACTCTGATCTATCTCCTGGCTGACCTTCTATGGCAATCATTTATAATTATTTGTATCTTTTCCGGAGTGTTACCCAAAACTGCCTGAAATGCTTTTTGGAAAATGTTTATTTTTTTTAAAGCACTTTTAGACTTAGGTAGCTAAGTTCGGAATATGCTGTAAGAGGTGGAATTGCCAACAGCTGCTTACAGGACAGAGAAAATGGTCAGAGAAGCAAGCAGGGGACAGCCTGGCAGGCCCACGGCTCAAGGGTTGAGAGAAAAGACTTTGGTCTGGCAAACTTAGGCTCGAAGTGGGCTTAACCAGCTACAGCGACCTTGGACAAAGGAGTTAACTTTTCTAAACTGTCTGTTGTTAAATGAGATAATAACAATACTTACCTCTTCAGGTTGTTTGGGAACTACCTCAGAGAAGGTTTGGCACAGAATTAGCCAGGGGTACTGTGTTATTCCCCGTAGGTAGTTAAGAAAGTTCAAAGGGCAACAAGGAATCCCTAAAGACTTCTTAAGCAGAGGAAGACAAACATGACTGCCTCGTGCAGGACGTACTTGACAGAGCCAAAACCGGGAGGCTGGGTTTTAGGAATCTAAATGAGAAACCATGGTGTGCCCGGTGCTACCATGGTGAACAAAAAAAGTAGATGAATCCAAGAGATTCTGTGGGTTTAAATTTGATGGGAAGTCTTGGTTAACTGTGGGTGAATAGTCAAGAGTCAGAAGGGCATCCGTGTTTGGGCTTGGATGGTTACTGAGACAGGAGGGGTAAAAGGTTTGAGAAATAATGTCGGGAGGACAAAAAATACAACTGAGTTTAATATAGGAACTGAAACACTTGTGAGCTGGATGAATATGGATGTCAGGTGCAACCAAAAAAATCTGGACTTAAGACACAGATGTGGAAACATTTGTGTGCAGGATGTCAACTCAAGTCACAGGACTTACAGGTCACCCAAGAGGGACAGAGCCAGAAGTGCTAAGGTCACTCATTTCACATCAGCACAGTTCCAATACTTACTTAATGGTTGTCGAGGGAAACATTTGCAAAGGACAGAGATCACCAAGAGGCATAAGCCCAGGCAGTGTCATTAAACACTGGGAGAGTTTCAAGAAAGAAAGGAATAGTCAGCAGTGCTAAATTTTGCTAAGAAATGCATGAGCACCGGTGGGGGAGGAAGTATCCAGGATTGTCATGGTGGAAAGAAAATAACAGGTATAAAGGGTTAGAGGAATGTGCTCCCTCCTACTAAAACATTACCAACCACAAAAATGTTTCATCTTTCCTAATGACATCCAAACACAGAAAATCACTCCATCCAACTGGTTACAGGTTCATAGATACATTAGTTAATAAATAAGCACCTCCTAAATTATCAAGGAAAAAATTACCTCCTAAAACACTACCTACTTTTATTAAGAAGGCATGTATGAAAAACACAGCAAAACTGTGAAGCCCCCTGACAGAGAACAGAGACCTTACCGGATACTAAGCCACCGTAGGTTCTTTCAAATTTTACCAACTTACTGCTTTTAAGAAAAAAATCACTGCATCCCCTTGCATGGGGACAACAGACTTTGAACACATTTAATATCCTCACTACATCATAAAACAGAGCTATCACTATTCTTATCTTGCTTCCTATTAGGTCATTTAATTCTCCTCCCCCTCTAGAAAACCAGCCCCCACGTGAAACCAATGTACTAAACAGAATCTCCCCAATTCTGTCAACCAGACATCTAGCAGAGATACAGCAGAGAAGTAAAGATTATCATTTCTCAAAGTTAGTACTAATAGGATAGGTAATGTTTTACCTTGGGCATCCATTAAAATGTAATCTCCAGCCAACTTGAAATGCCTTTCACTAAATTGTTGCATTTACAATTATCTTCATCTCCATACAACAACAAAGCAGTAATATTAATGTGTTAAGAAGAAAATCAAATACACCTCAAATTCAGAACAAAGGAACCACCCATGCCACAAAGGTTTAGGCACCAACACAAATTTAAATATCCAAGTGAAATGCAACAACTGTTCTATTCACCAAGTATTTATCTATAAATTCTAATACATCTATTAAATTTAAATGCATACACAGAAAACATTTCATAAAAATTATTTCACTAATAACAAGTGATTGAGTTCTAAGTTTTTCTCTATTCTAAATGTTAAGAAAAGCAAAGTGTCTAGAAAAATCACTCTTCAGTCATGACAAAGACA